TGAAGCGTATCCGGAGATCAACAGGTAGTGGGTGAAGCGAGGTACACCCACAATCGCTCGCGCGGCCGCATTCTGGACTAGCTGAAGTCGCCGAATGCTCTTCAAGGGCAGCCCCATGGGGCATCAAGATCATTTAACAACAGTCTTGCTTAGCAATGGAAATCTAGGGCTCAACTGTGGTCGTAAGTTAAGGATTATCTGTGCATATTTCTAAAGAAAGGAGAAGATTATACCGGATTAAAGTGTTATTTCAGGTTGATTCTCTAACTTGAATAAATATACACTTCGCAAAACATTTTGTTAATATAATGTTCCCATTGTAGAACAGTTTAATCTGACAAAAGAAAGACCTGTTGCAGAGTTGTGCCACTTCCAGAATTGTATCTCTGAATATGTAATATATAGTAAGATCAATACCTATAAGCCTATCCCTAATTTATTTAATGGGAAGTAAAATTGTTATTTCAAACAAATTCCATCTAGTTTTGAGAAACTATTTCAGTCTTAGAGCATGAAGAGGCCTATATTCAGAACAATAGATATGTCATTTATTCCACCTCCATTTTCCTGTTCTCTATGCTGAAATCTCAGGAATAAACATTGGTTATATTGCAGTATTAAAACTACAAATTTAATTGCAGGAAGTGACTGACATAGACAAGGTGTTTAATGATGATTCAAAATTATGGAAAGGGTGCCTTAGGGCTTGTAAAGCACACCTAGCTGTTGTAAAATGTTGCACACACACACCCGCAGTCACATGATCTCAATCTGGGTATGTGGCAACCTGTTGCACTTACGAATAGTTGCCAAGCAGCCTGCCACGATGTGATCACCATTTGTAATCTTATCTGCTAGGTTCCCCAGACAGGCAATGGGGAAGGTTACAAGTTGCTCCTACATGCTGAGGGGACTCCCTCTTACCTCTGTGGGCTGGCTGAAAGAGCTGCCTGCTGAAGGGAGTGAAACTCCTTTAGCAGGATGGAGAAATGGAGCATAGATCCCAAAGAGCTAAGCTCCATTTCTCCATCCCGACGAAGGTGTCCCCTTCTGTGCAAGGCGAATTGAACTCGTTTAGCAGAAACAGAACTCAGATCCTAAGTTCATGCAAGGAAAGATGTTCCTTTCCCTATGTGGAGGAGAGCTCAACCCTTTCGCCAGAGCTGAGAGACACAGCTCAGATCCTGATGCTTTGAGCTCCATTTGTGCACTCCACATGACTTACCTGTCAGGTGCAAAGGGCAGCTGGCATCCTTCAACAGGCAGCTCTTTTAGCAAGTCTCTAGAGATGAAAGGGAGGCAAGATCCAAGCAGGATTCTAAGCTTCTGATCAGAGAGGGAGCATTATAAGGTAAGAGTGTGGGATGTTCAGGCAGGTGGGGAAGGCCCTGGGATGCCTGGCACACACCATACTCAAGTATCTCTTTGTTCAGGGACTGAAAATTGTCCTTGCATTTAGCCAGAGAGCCTTTTCATCTTCTGAGTGGAGCATCCTGGTGTCCCGTCCCCCCAGAAGCACCCTGCATCCCTAGCGTGGGACTCCCTCCACTTAACAACCTCAACTGTGAGTACTGGGACTGCAGTCTTTGAGCAAAGCAGTCATGCGGGTAGTCATATCACTTAATGACCACTTCACTCAACAACTGAGATTTCAATCTCAATTGTGGTCATTATACAAGGAATAATGAATATAATATACTACTACATTTAATGTTCTTATCATTTTTTATGCTTCTAAATCTATGACAAATGTATGATCTTGCTATACCTTGCTATATTGTGCTACAAAATATAACTATGCAATGTAATTATTTTCTGTGCAGCTGAGACTAGGCGGGGTATAAATTTAATTAATTAACTATAGCACTTAAAACAATGTTTAGATTGCTCTACAAAAAATGAGACATACCCGAAATAGTGAAGCCGCTAAACTTTGACCAAATGCATCCTTTATTTGATCATCTTTGGAGTTGCTCATGACAGCTTCTGTTATGCTAAGAAGTATTTGCAATATATGCTCCCTAGGATAAAATTTAAAATATATATTATACATATGAAAAATGTAGGAAAAATTTACTAATGGCATCTTAACATTTTCTCATAATAATGTTGACACTACCATCAAAGGTACTTCTAACAGCTCTTAAAAAGTTGCAAAGTAAGAGAAGCAAATATTAGGATTGTGCACACTTAAAAATTAGTCCCAAGGAGACTCCTTGTCCTCCGTTGTTCCCCTCTCCTAATTGCTCTGTGCATAATGCATCTGGAAGAGGCCCCAGCTGTTCTTTCTTCTCACTCATATCAGCCTCCAAAGACTGCTGCCTCTCTGGTGGTTGGGAAATGTCGGATGGCCCTGGCTCTACCTCTATGTCTGACCCACAGCATCCATCAGATTCCAGAATTTCCCCAGACTCCAGGCCCAAGTTCCTCCCCAATCTCTTCACTGTCTGGGTCTACTGCCAGTTCTGCTGGCAACTGATGGGCCACAACACAAGGTTGCAAAATGGGGCAAAACTAATTTAACAAATATCTTACTTAACAACTGAAATTTTGGGCTCAATCATGGTCACAAGTTGAAGACTATGTGTACTAAAAAGGGATTTGGGCCTTATATAAACACAACATCCCTTTACTAGTCTTTAAAGGAGCCTGTCTTGTTTTGAGGCATCAGTACCAGCTTAAAAAAAAAAAAAGATTCCGTTGTTTTAAGATGCCTGCTCCCTAAAATTAGTGCAAGTCTTAAAGCAGTGTAACTAATCTTTCATTCAGACCCATATAGAAAGCACTTATTTAAATACCAGCAGAAAAATATTATAACCACAAGCATTTTAAGTATCTTATTATTCATTTTCTAAGAGTGCACAACCCCAAATAATATTTTAATCCTAGGTTTCCCTGACTTAACTATCCTAAATACAGGCAATCTTTGTTTAATAACCATTTTTGTTTGGCAACCATTCAAACTTACAATGGCACTGAATGAGTGGTACTTATAAGTGGACCTTGCACTTAACTAGCACCGTGTTCCACAATCATGGGATAGCAATTTGCTATTTTACTTGTCAGTTCCCACAAGTAAAGTCAATGGGGAAGCTGGCAGGAAATTGAAAATTTTGGTTACATGAGCTCCTCGGTTAATGACCTGTGTGGTCCTTGCTTAACTGTGACAACCTGAACTGTGGGAACTGCTGTCACTAAGTGGCACAGTCACCTGGTTTCTTGACGTATTACAGCACTGCTTAATGACAGAGTTTCCAGTCCCAATTATTGTTGGTAAGTGGAGTTTACCTGGATGTAGTTTTTACCTTTTAGTATTCATATTAATGTCAATGCCAGGGAATTCTAGTAGGTAAAGTCTACATATTTGGACAACACCCACGTTAGAGAAGCTGTATGATTTTGTATTTAAAATATTTTCATTATGACATGTAATCATTTTACTAATAAATCTAAACATAACGATCCCTTTATTAAAATATCAAGATATCTATTTTTGTTAACTGAAGAAATAGTAATAATATGACAAATCATTTAGATTCAACATTATCAAAAGAGTTTTCAATTGAAATACAATTAAAAAAAGTAAGTCATTGCGGAATGTCAGAAGTGAAACTTCAAGTCAAAAGTGTATTATGCCTTCTATAGCAGGGGTCTCCAACTCCCAGTCTGTGGATTGGCAGTGGTCTGTGGCATGCCAGCAAGCAAGCAAACAAATGAATCCCCATCCATGGGATGCAGGCAGCATGCAAAATCATGACCCTGCAATCCACGAAAAAACCTTTCTCCATGGAATCAGTCCCTGGTGTTGAAAAGGTTGGGGGCCACTGTTCTATAGGGTACAGACCTTCTGAGGTCTTTTTATAGAAGCTCTTTATGCTATGATAGCACTTAGAAATTAAAAAAAAAATAAAGCTAAGGTCTTCAATAAGAAATATGATAACCACCCCTGATTCCTGGCTTCTTTGCCTTATTTTTTGATAGTTTTGGCCAGGAGAAGGCTGCATAGAGGATTAGAACCCAAATGGGCAGAACTTGGTAGATGCAAACTATTCATATGGATAAATAAAAAGCTGTGTCTCTCTAATATATTCTATCTGTTACTACTGTGATTTGCAAACCGCATTATAAAGCATTTGCTTTATTTTAAATATATTTACATTACTTAAATATTTAGTATTTCAAATCAGGTCTTATCTAAACCAAGTAATAAAACATGTTTTATAAAACAAAGTATAAGTGTTGAGTAAATTATTTTTATTAGCCTTTATTTTTATTTTTTTTAAATTCAATTTCCATAGCTACCCATCTCAATTGATGGCAATGATTTCAACTATACTTTGATTTTTTTTAAAAAAATAATGTCCTAAAACTATGCCCTGAAAACAAATACAATCCATCATGGAAGCTTTTCATTCATTTCCCCATGATTTGGAAAGATCACAATATAATTCTGCATTTTTTCCTTATGGGCAGAAAAGCCCAATATAAATTAAAATTGAAGGGGTAAGAATTGACAGCATTCTATTTGTTCAGCAATGAAAACATGTATTTCAAATAATCTTGCCCTATAACAATATGTTTTTTTTCCTAGAAAACAAAAACAAATTATCAGTGGAATATCCACATTACATTTGTGCTCACAGAATTAAAAGGTGTCTAACTTATGCACTATCTGTCTTTTCAGATTTGTCGAAAGTCTGGACATTCATTCTTATCCATTAACTGCTCTCTAGAATTCCAGTTTGTACATAGATAATTTACAAAGGTGATGTATGTATATGAGTTATGAAGATATACCATATCTTCATAATTCAGATATACCAGATATCAGATATCTAGGAAAACTAGATAGGAAACTGGATAAGATAAACTAATTCTACTATGTAAGGTTATATTAATAGAAACTTGCAAATATGAAGGCACAAGCTTCCTGCCTCCATTATTAACTATTTGATTCATTTGGGCAGGTCTCTCCTAAATTTCTTTCTCTGATCATTAATCGACTGCCAGCTCCTATCTCTCTTGTCTGATTTTTTCCTAGGCAGCATTTCCTCCTCTTTCCCCAAGGTAATTCACACATTCTATTTCAGATAAACATACCAGGTCTTTTTATTCATTGGAACTTCCATTATCATGCGCCTATATATACTCAAAACTGCTCTGCAAGAATTTATTTGCTCTTTAAGTAGTTCAGGGGCTTCACTGCATGGTTCCAATAAAAATATGTTTGCAGAGTTTGTCAAAAATACCTTTATATTTTGAAAGATAGAGAGGAGGGAGAAGAGGGAAAGGGAGAGGGAGGGAGGGAGAGAGAGAGAGAATGAATATGAATCTATTCAGGTTATTTTGAATAATTTGAACAATATATTCTTCATGAAATTTAGGATTAAATTAATCTATTCACAAACAAAACATCATCCTTACAATAAGTCTTGCACATTTTAAATGATATATTTAGATAACTGCCATTTTTTATCATTCTGAGTTAAGAGAATTATAAATACATTTTATAATAGCATTTTCCTTTCTAATAAAAAGGCAATTTGCCCATTGAGCTGTTTTAGATTAAGAAACCTGACGGCCCTGAATTGAAATGAGAGCAAATATAGTCCTGGAATAGATATGCTATGGAGATGTGCATTAAATATCTTTTCTAAAAATCTACACACTAGGAAATGATCTGTATTCCAAAAGTTAACAGAATTCACCATAGTTGCAAACTAACCTCATTATAAAAAGTCTCTGGTGACCCCAGTAACTCTAAAAAGCTTATATAGCCAGATTGTTCCTCTGTATAAAGTAAATTTCAAAAACATTCTACAATTTCGTGCCTTTCTGCTTAATTTAGATTGTCATAGTAATCTGAGAACAGGAGAACTGTTGGCAGTAAAGGGAGATGTTGGATCCAGAGCATTATGCAGTGAAACAACTGAAAATAGTACCTATGAACAGACTCTTATAACACAGAATTTTACATAGATGACCTGTGACCATGTGCCTGTCTTGCAAAAGTTAGGAGAATGCTTGAAAAAGGATGCAATGATCATGGGAAAAGGCCCTGATCAACTAAAATATTGAAGAGCCATCATAGAATTTCATCATAGTAATCATACAGAGAGACAGTTGTTGCAATGACTCATAGATGTTCTCAATCTTGGGTTACATAGAAACACATTATTTATTATTCTGGGGTTTAAAACAGTATATATTCAAAATGTTTTGAGTATAAAATTTCTTGCCTCAAACATGAATTGATTATTTTCAGCAGCAAAATGGGCTGCATCTGAGTACTCTGGAGTGTACAGAGACTTTCTGCTTATCTTTTAAAAACCACCTCTTAGAAGCCTTTTGATCTTGGTTCCTTTGATTTTTTTTGGGGGGGGGGGAGGGGAGATCACGTTGAGGAATGTGAAGGAGAAAAAGGACAAAATACAGATGCTGATCAGGGATCTTCATATTTCTCCGCTACTTCCTTTTAATTTTTTGCAGCTCAAATATGGTCTCTGAATATTTTGATTTTTTATACTTTTGATCCACTGCAGCAGTCCACCCCAAATTTAGAATAATTCTAGTTACAATTAAGATAACATCAAATGTATATTTTGCTTTGCATTTATCAGTTCTAAAGGAACAATGTATTTCCTTTTGTCCAAAGCAAAATTTCAGTTTCACTTTAATTATGGTAACAAATATAAATACAATTAACAAGTACAAAATATATTATACAAACTAAGAAAGCGATTTCTTTTGTATTATACAGTATATATATTTTTATGTATGAATGTATGTATGTATGTATGTATGTATGTATGTATGTATGTATACACACACACACACACACATATATATTTGTATATATGTATATGTAATACCTGCAGTGTGTTTGTGTATGTGTGTGTAATATGTGTGTGTGTGTGTGTGTGTGCGTGTGTGTGTATGTATGTAATACCTGCAGTGTAGCTTGAAGTCCTGCTTTAACATTCTCATTTTCATCTTCTAATAAGCATCCTCTGGTAACAGCACTAGAGAAGGAGTAACTTCTTCCCCAACTTGAGGATCTTCTATGTCTAGACACAAGCTTTAGGAAAACGTATTAGTCAACATGTGCACCCAGAATGTAACCCCCCGTTTGCTCACTGTAAATTTTAACAAAAGAATTAACAGCTTTAATACCCTTCAAAAAATAAACAAGCACTTAGTGGTTAAAATATTTAAATACTCTTTATACCCATGATGGCATGGGGAGCCATATTTGCTGGCATGCCAGCCGTCAGCTCCTGCGTGCATCTGATTTTTGGCCTTCAGCAAGGCCAGGGAAGGCTGTTTTCATCCTCCCCAGACTTCAGGAAAGCCTCCGGATACTGGGGAAGGCAAAAAACAGGCCCAATCTCCGGAGGCTTTCCTGAAGCCTGGGGAGGGTGAAAAATGGCCCAAACGAGCCAACCGGAGGCCCTCAGGAAACCAGAAATGGATAGGGAATGAACTTACGGTTGGCCCGTTGGGCCTGTTTTTCACCCTTCCCAGCCTCTGAAGGCTTTCCTGAAGCCTGGGGAGGACGAAAACGGCCCCAACAGGTCAACCAGAAGTTCAGAAACAATCCATTTCCAGCTTCCAGAGGGACTCCGCGGGGTCGGGGGAAGCTGTTTTCACCCTCCCGAGGCCTCAGGAAAGCCTCTGGAGCCTGGGGAGGGATCGTGCATGCATGCGCAGGTGGGGAGAATTGTATTGGTGTGGGCACTCGTGCACGTACGATAGAGCGCACACACACACAATTTTGGTACGCCATAAGACAAAAGTTCACTTTCACTGCTTTATACCATAAATTATTATGTGTGTGTGTGTCTGTATGTATGGCTTGCAATATGTCACTACTAATTTACACATGCTTTTTACAATACAAAATACCATTTTTACTTGAATACCACTATTGAGGAAAAGGCAAGGGGAGATAATCTCCTAAGTATATGGGCCACAGGGTCTATAATTGTCCACACAAATTTAGGAGGCTTTTAGAAGGAGAGGAACTGGTTCTATTTACAAAAATCAATACTAGACTAATAAGACTTTTACCAACAAAGAGGTGATGATTTCATACTATTTAAAATCAGATACAGTAATAATACAGAATAGAATAAAGATTGATGCAGCCCATTTTGAATGGGCTAAATTAGTGACCCTGGCATTAAAACTCCTTTATTTGCTTTAGTGATATAATATACACAGGGAATAAATATTTCAGTGGGGGCAAAAATGTCTGACAAAACATTTTTACAACTAATTTTGTGTTGGGATCAGTTTTACAGATTCATTTATTATCAACAGGTTTACAGAGTTACCTATTAGTGATGAATAAATATGATTTAAACTATGTTAACCTATTGGAAATACAGTTTCAATTTCTTGACATTTCCATACCAGTTTAACATTGTGGCCTGTGTATCATTATTTGAATTAAATAAAATAATACTGAAGGAAAGATTGGATTCCAAAATTGAATCACTCTACATAGAAGGATTAGAAGGGCAACTCATCAAATTTGCAGATGACATTAAACTGGCAGGAATAGGCAATACCCCTGAAGACAAGCTCAGGATCCAAAGAGATCTTGACAAACTTAATGGGCCCTATCTAACAAAATGAATTTTAATGTGGAGAAAAGCAAAGTTTTACATTTAGGCAGGAAAAATCAAAAGTATAAGTACAGATTAAGTGAGACCTGGCTCAAAAACTAGCCCTGAGAGGGACCTTGGAGTCCTAGTGAATGATCACTTAAATATGAGCCAGCGGTGTGCAGCAGCAGGCAAAAAAGCTAATACGGTACAATCCTGGGTTGTATAAACAGAGGCATAGAATCAAGATCACATGAATTATCAGTACTGTGTTTCCCCGAAAATAAGACAAGGTCTTATTTTCTTTTGACCCCCCAAATATGGCTTGGGCCTTATTATTGGGGGTGAGCTTATTGTTTTGGGGTGGCTGCTCTCTTGCGAGCAGGCTCCCAAAGAGCCGGGCACAGCCTCAGGGGTGAAGCAGTAGTGCAACACAGCAGCCATGAGGTGACCACGCTCACGAGCAGCCACCCGGCAAGCCTCCTTTCCAGACGGGCACAGCGCCATTCACTGACCCAGAGATATCCTAAAGGCACCAAGCCATGTGAGCGCCTCTTCCCCGCCCCATGGCTCCCGCAGCTGGGCGCCTTCGGAATACCCCCAGGTCAGTGAATGGCGCAGTCTTCTAGCAGCTAGCCCACAACCATAGAGCACACTCCCACTGCCGGAAGACTCAACAGCCAATCTCCAGAGTTTGGAAGCCGGAGAAGAAGTCATGCTAGGATGGCAGCGGCAACAGCGGTGCTCTGGCCCTGCAGGGAGAGCTGGGCCAGTGCATGGTGAGGCTGGGAAGCACATGAGCGGGGAGCGGAGCAGGTGCTCATGCTACCCCCCCCCCTCTCCAGTCATACAGAGCACCATTCACTGACCTAGGGGTATTCCGAAGGCGCCCAGCAGAGTCGGGGGCGGGGAACAGGCACTCACATGGCTTGGCGCCTTTGGGATTTGCTGAGACTTTGGAAAAAGTTCAGAGAAGAGCAACTAAGATGATCAAAGGCCTGGACACTAAAACATATGAAGAATGGCTGCAGGATTTGAGTTTGGCTAGTCTAAAGTAAAGAAGAATTAGAGGCGATAAAATAGCAGTATTGCAGTATTTGAGGGACTGCCAAAAAGAAGGGGTCCAATACAAAACATCAGAGGGCAGAACAAGGCATAATGGTTGGAAATTAACCAAAGAGAGAAGCAACCTGGAATTAAGGAGAAATTTCATAATAGTGGGGACAATTAACCATTGGAACAGCTTGCCTTCAGAAATCAGGGGAGTGTCATCACTGGAGATTTTTAACTGGCCACAACCTTTTTGGCTGGCAGAGTGCCGTCGAGGCTGAAAACGGGCCATTGAGGGGCCTCATGGGGCCTCTGTGCAGCCTGTTTTTGGCCAGCAGAGTGCTGCAGAGAGCCATGGAGGCCGAAAACAGGCCAGTCCTTCGATATATCCAGGCCGGCCCCACAGACCACCTGCAGGCCAGATCCTTGAGTTTGACACCTTGTCTAGGCAATGACTTAGAGCTGATGTGGTTCCCACCTTCAAAAAAGGGAAAAAAAATAGATCCAGGAAACTATAGACCTATCAGCCTCTCCTTAATACCAGGGAAGATTCTGGAAAAGATAATCAAGCAACGAATAAGTGAACACCTAGAAGTAAACAAAGTAATACCCAAAAG